TTACTGTTATCTAATGTTACACAGTTTTGAGAAAAAGAATGAAACGCATTTGGAGTTACTGTCCTGTGGGTTCGAGCTGCAGTACTACATAACCTTCGTCATTTAACAGCGGCTGACTTTTGAAAAAACCTGGAGCTTGAATTAATGCGAAATAAAGTGATTAATGGTGCTTTTCTGGATAACTTTTTGTTTTCACTTAATGAAAAACCATGCTTCTTTCTGCATTGGACTGGTTTTCTCTTGTTTTTCTCTTGTTGAAAAAAGTGATGAAACGGTACTGATGATTACTGAATTTGCAAATATGACAGTGTTTTATTCTCACCGCGGTAGTGTGTCTTGTTCTTAATTAACTTATTACTAACACAGGTACGAATTGTAAGTAGCAGAGGCATATTACGCGTTGAATATGTACTAACATTAACTAAGTTCATTCAAATTCATTGTATCGCAATTTATATCGACTGGAGGGAACACACAAATAAAACTTCTCTTCCTTCTCGTAAAATACCATGCTTGGGAATCAATGCCTCTTGTGCCTGGAAAATCCTGTCATCGTATTTATATATGCTGGCAGCTGTTGCTGGTTTGAAGGAATAAAAGAGGAGCAGGTACATTTGATAAATAAACAGAAAAACACAAAAACAATGATTATTTAATCTTTTACAGCGCCAAATCCGCGAACTCCCTACAGTGAACTCGATTACAGATTTGCTCAGAAATGTTTCTTGGAATTGTTGTACTTTTGTGGTTTCTAGGTAAACCAGTTTTAACAAGATGAGACCAATGAAAATGGTAGAACAATTCAGATAGGCGTAGTAATTTTTGATACGTTGGGCTGTACACTTTTTATTTCATATGACTAGACTTTAGTTAAACTCTCACTTGACATTAAGCGCGGAAGCTTTTTTTCGCTCTTTTTCCAGTGTGAAGCAAAATTCTCCTTCATCCGAATGATCGCTGCAAAAATGTAAAAAAAATGTCCAAATCAATATAATCTTGAACGCTGACTATGGTAACCGAAATTGAAGAAAGTTACCCTTTCGTGCTGAACGGCCAGAGATGTAGAGGACCTGAAAGCTTCTGAAGCCACTGGTTTAGTCCAGGTGCAACTAC